TTTTTTTTTTTTTTTTTTTTTTTTTTTTTTTTTTTTTTTTTTTTTGGGGGGGGGGGGGCGAAAGGGTTAAATGAAAATTTGTTGCTATAACGGGCCCAACTGTGTTGGGAATTTAGTGCGCTAAGCGGATAATCTGAATGATTCTCGTAAATACAGCTAAGTGATGCATGAATTTTGGCTAGTGTTGTTTAAATTTAATAGTACTTAACTCAAACTATGTGAAACAAAGCTAAAAAAGATGCAAGGTCAATTTGTAACGCCTCTAATTCTTAACTTTTGTGGACTTTTTGTGATTTTTTTATCGTTAGCGTTTGTTAATTGTTATTGTATTTGATCGTCTGCTGTATCATGATTAATACCAGTGGTTTACGTTTTTTCAGAGAGCTGGGAAAACTTTGTAGATACGCTGGTTGGGAAACAGCGTTAACTTACGTTTTTGCTACGTTCATGTTCGTTTGGATAACTACACGGCTAGTTTATTTTCCGTTTGCAATCATTCGATCAGTATTGTTTGATGCTCCTGCATTGATACAGGTTGGTTTCCTTCTTAAAAAAAAAACTATGGTTCTTGTAACAGTCTTAGTTATCCTTACGATGCAATTCCTCTTCTTGATGCTATTTGGGGCCGTGTTTTTGTGCATTTTTTGCATAAATGCAACGCAAAAATGCATGCTGTCGAGGAATTGTGTGTGTATGCGCGTGTGCGTGTATGTGTGTGCATGTGTGCCGAACTTTCATCTCGAGATTCACAAAAGTTACAAGGTTGAAACTTAATCTACACATACGTGCGGGCCTCCATTCTCAAAATGGATGCTCACCTCCACGTAATTCTCACGTACAGGCACGTGAAAGTTTTTTTGGCAGGAAAGCTTTTTCGGGAACGGTGTAATTTAGAAATCTGAAACTTCACAGAGATGTTCCTTGGCTACATCTAATCCAAAGATTTCAAATTCAGCCTTTACGCACCCCGAGACTCCATGTACGCACAAGTCCGAGTTTAAATTGGCGTGTTGCCAACTGTAGACCAAGAAGTTGTAGAAGGCTGTAATTTTGAAGCGTTATTTGTCGCCCACTGGCGTGCTCGTGAAAGTGAATTGAGCTTTTCAGCCCCTTTGCATCTCACATATGGACACGTGAAAGTTTCACGCAGGCACTTTTGTAACTTCTGAATTGAAGCGGCTAGAAGACTGGAGCTTTCTGGACATAATCGATTGTGGCATCTGACCAGGTGGACGTAAAAGCGACTTTCACGTTCCTTTCATGTCTCACGTACTGACACGTGAAATTTGATATAACCCCGCAACCAGATCAGTTGGAATGCTGAAATTTTCTGAGCGTGGCCCAGGACGGTGTTTGAGCAAGCACACGCAGAAACAGCACTTGCCACTCACTTACAAACACGTTAAATTTGACGTAACTCTGCAACTGAAGCAAATAGAGTGCTGAATTTTTTGGGCATGGGTTGGGAGTCATTGTAATAATTTCTAGTGGTGGTGATGATTACTCTCAGTTCGCTTAGCTAAAAGAATCAGCCGGAAAAAGCAGTGCCACTAGCAATAAAAACCTGTGAG